CCTCGGGCAGCCTTGGCGTGGCGTGTGCTGCTGGAGTCTGAGCAGGGGCGCAGTGCGGACGTGACGGGGAGCTGGCTACAGCGAGGCCGACCCCCCTGGGGACACAGGCAGTGCTTGGGGCACAGGCCCAGAGGCCCAGGACCTGGGCACCTGCTTGTGTGATGGGGGAGCTGGTGCAGGTGCAGGTTGGGGTCAGGCCAGGGAATCGGTGGCTTTGAGTCCCCCTCCCTCGAGTAGGGAGGTTCAGGGTGTGACTAGTGAGTGTGTGACAGTCTGAGGACCCTGAGCGATCAGAGTGCTGTGAGCGGGTCAGCTGCCGCTGCCGCCGTTGACCCGTGTCAGAGGGGCCGGCACATCGGGGCCACTTCCTGTGTTGTGCTTCTGAGATGCCATGAGGCACTTTATCACTGGACACACCTCTGAAGTGTGCAGCGTGTGGACTTGTGTGTGCACGGCCAGTGCAGCCGTCGCCCACGTCCCAGCCTCTCAGGACCCAGAGCGAGTGCACGCGTAGTCCCTCGCTCCCACGCCCGCCCAGCCTCAGGCAGCTCCTCTGTCACTCTGTGGAGTCACCTCTTCCATGTGACCCCATGCGCTGCACACACGTGGGGCCAGACCATGCGTGGACTTCAGTGCCTGGCTTCCTGCCTTCGGGGCTGTTGGCTGTTTCCACGTTGCAGCAGGATTCCCTTCCTCTGACGATTGAAGGGCTCCCCTGCGTGCACACCGTTGTGCTTGTCCGCTCATCAGGTGGACGTGGGTGGTTCCCACGTGTGGCCCTCGTCACACAGCCATGGGCCCTCGGGCAGTTTCGTGTGGGCGTGGTCATGGTTCCCTTGGGCGCAAGGCTCGGCCTGGAGGTGCAGGTCAGGTGTGACTCCGGTGAACTGCCGGCTGCTCCACGGCAGCGGCACTCCTCCCCCGTCAGTGTGTGCAGGTGGGAGTGCCCCTTGCTCCACGTCCCTGCCCGCCCCGCTGTCGGCCTTCCTCCGTCCTCACTCGGCAGTGCGCATCCCCAGGGCTCTGCTGTTGGCCGGGTGGCGTGCCACACAGCCACCTCCACTGGCACCAGCTCTTGGGCCTCCCGGGGTCTCCCCCACGCCGCACAGACCTCCCTCTCCTCCGCCGGGTCTAGTCCGTCCTGGGTGCTGCCTTCTCCATTCCCACAGCCGCTCAGGGGACCGTTCCCGTCTCGGCTGGGGAGAGGGAGGCAGGCTGAGCCCCGGCGCAGCACAGCTGGTCCTCAGGAGACCTCAGCACAGGCCTGGTCTTCCTGTCTGCGCCCCCACTTGGATCCCTAGCGAGGCCTTTCCTGCTGTCCCACGGAGCTCGTTCTTTCCTTCTGCTTAGGAAGCGGATCTCTCTGTGTTCGACCTCATCGGCTTAGAAAACACAATGACCCGCCACGAGGCTGAACTGCTGCGCAAGAGGAGGGTGTCGCGGAAGCTCATGGAGGAGCTCTTCACCGCCCCGCCCCCGCCCGGCCGGCCCCCCGCGGTCCGACTGAAGCCCAGCAGGTGTGTGCGGAGCGTGCTGCCTGCGGCCCCCCTCTGGCCTGGCTGGGCCCTGGCCGTCGTGAATCGGTCCCTGGCTGTGGGTGGGAGTGACACTGGGAGGCTTGGGACCAGGCTGGACTTTCCACGAGACCCTGGCTCCAGGCTGTGAGAAGAGGCCAGTCGCCTGCTGGGCTGTCTGCTCTGGACATGGCCCAGGTGTCCTCTGCTCTCTGAGTCGCTCATTGTCAGTGGGAAGCGTGGGCACTTGGCTCTCGCCCGCCTGAGGAGTGGCCCTTCACCGTCTTTACAAAGTGCTAGGATTGGGCGGGGTCTGTGGGGAGGAGCTGGGACCAGTCGTGGGGCTGGATCCGACCTGGTGGGTGTTGGGGGGCAGCTGTCCTGGCCGGGTGTTGGGGAGCGAGGGCAGAGGGCGCTGGAGGGTAGTGTGGGCCTGCGGCGAGAGAGGGCTCCTGACTAAGTGAAGGGACCCCGGGAGGATGACCATGTTGCAGGCGCCTGGAGGCTGGGACAGGGCAGAACGTGACGAAGGCAGAGCCCACGGGGCTCAGGAGGGGTTGACGCCGGAGCGGGAAACAGATGAAGTCCTGGGCTCGAGCTAAAACGAGGGACGGGAAGCCAGCATTTTGGAGACAAAGGGCCAATTCTGCAAACCGGCAGCCATTCTGGTTGCCTCGTCTGTGTGTGTCTTCCCGGGCACCTGGGCCCTCGCCCGCACAGGCAGGGCCTGCAGCCCTCGGACCTGCACGGCGGCGACGGCGCTGCCTCTGCTGGTGTCGCACGGGCTTCACGGGGCGCCCTGCTCTGCAGTTCCCGGGAGAGCCGGCTGCAGAGGGCACGGACGCTGTGAAGCCCGAGGGGCACCCCCGGACCCTGCGTGGCCGCGGAGGCTGTTCCATCTGCCCTTCCTGTCCCTGTGCCCCGTCCCCTGAGGCTGCCATTGTCCTTTCACCTCACTGCTGCCTCTAAACCAGCGGTTCTCAACCTTCCTGAGGCCACGACCCTTTAACACAGCTCCTCACGTTGTGGTGACGCCCGGCTTCATTGTTACAGATTGAACATCGTTAAAGCACAGTGATTAATCACAAAAACAGTATGTAATTATAGATGTGTTTTCCAATGGTCTTAGGCGACCCCTGGAAAAAGGGTCGTTCGACCCCCAAAGAGGTCGTGACCCATAGGTTGAGAACCACTGCTCTAAACAATCGTCTGGACTTGGTGTGCCAGATGCCTTTCCTTGTCCACTCTGATAGGAACCTAATTGAAGTAAAATCACACCCCGTCACGCAGGCACGGGGGCCACTGTCAGGTGCTGAGTGTTGCCAGCACTGCCTGGGCCCCGCCTGCTGTAACCAGCAGCAGGAGTGGGAGCCTGCTGCTCGGGGCAGGCACCCCCCAGGCCTGCTGCAGCGACGCTATCTTCCTGCCCACACACGTCTAGGTTGTTCCAGCCTGTGCAGTACGGCCAGAAGCCCGAGGGCCGCATGGTGGCTTTCCCCAGCACACACCCGCCCCGGACGGCCACCTCCACAGCGGCCACGGCCACGCCCCAGGGCCACGTGCGAGGACGGCCGCCCATCGCCACGTTCTCTGCCAACCCGGATGCCAAAGGTATGTCTTGTGTGGTGGTGTGTTTGCCACGGAGGGTGCTGCCTGGCCCCTCTGACGAGGGACCTCCATTCTGCCGAAGAGACCTGTGCAGCCCTCGCACGAGTTGGAGGCTTTTTTATGTCTTTAAACTGGATTTTACAAGGCGCTGCACGCTTCGTGGAGGCGTGTGTGGTGTGGCGATGAGGATGCTCTGTGGGGGGAGCTCCTGGAGGGGACTCGGCTCTCAGGCTTCCGAGGAGGTGACTGCTGTTTCCTGCCCTGCTTTGCCGTCACCTGATTCACAGCAGAGAAGGATGGGGCAGGGGCGGACAGGTGACGCGGGCCGTGCTCCGGCCCGTCAGCGGGTCCTGGGCCACGTGCACGGCGGCTTCAAGTGTCCAGAGCTGCTTCGTGCAGGCGCCCCTCGTGCAGCTGGAGGTGCAGCCTCTGTGTGCGCCTTGTGGGGGGTCAGGGTTCCCCCTGGTGGACACGGGTTTACATGGCTGACTTCTAACACTGTTCACTGCAGGGATGTACTGCCGTGTAGGCTGCTGGTTCGCGCCAAGTGGAAATAGTTTAACAGCGGATAAAAAATCATACCTCTCTGTCTAGAGCTCATTGGCCTTCACCCCCCTTTTTAGAGAGAGCTTCTCATTTGAGAGACAGTATGAAATGTTTGTTTTATTTCTTTAAAATTCGGGTTAAAGTACTGCGTTGCATTGAGAACCTCTAACAGCTCTGCACAAACCACCCTTGTTGATTGCAGCGGCCGCGGCCCCCCAGGCTCCCACCGGTGCTCCGAGACCCCAGGCCACCTCGACCTGCAGCACAGCTCCTAGCCCAGCCCATCCTGCGAAACTGCGGGCTCAGACCGCGCCCCAGGCCTCCGCCCTGGGCCCGTCCCAGCCCCAGCCCCAGGCCCCCTCGCACCCGGCCGGGCAGAGCACGCTGCCTCAGGGGCTGCTGCTCACCTCGCAGGCCCAGGCGCGCCTGCCTAGTAAGTGGCCTCGCCTCTCCCGGGGCTCTGCCCCTGCTCCCAGGAAGCTGTGCTCAGACCAGCAGTGTGAAGAGCCTCTCTGTCCACTCCTGTCCCCCCCAAGCCGGCGCTGCCTTTGCCGTGCTGTGGCCCTGCTGTCCTTTCCGGCCCTAAATCTCAGGGCCGGTGCCCAGGGCCTGTCCTTCCTCTGCCTTTTCTCCTGACCCCGTCCCGTCCGTCCGTCAGCTCTGCTTTCCTCCCGCACTCGCTCTGAGCTTCATGCTGATGACTGCGCCTCCCTCACTGGGAGCCAGGCTTTGGCCCAGGGCCGAGATCAGCTGGGGAGCAAAGGAGGGAAATGAAAGCGGCCGCTTCCTGGACAGCCATGGGCCTAGCGTTCGGTTTCTGAAACCAGGACTTCCTTTTCGTCTCTCGCTGTTACCAGATTTAAACCTGGGATGAATTACTGCTCAACCGAGACATTTAATAATTTAATGACTAAGATCTCAATTTTATTAAATACTAGAGGCCTGGGGGCTCGGCCCTCGCAGCCCCGGCTTCGCCCGAAAGGATGTCCGGTCTAATTAGCATATTATGCTTTTATTATAGATTTTAATAGAGTTTTTGTGATACCTTATGCTATTTTTATATGGGCACTTTTTTAATCCAAAGGGTATTACATATGTGTCCATTTTTTTCCCCCCGCCCAAGACATTCCCCAGATTTTAATAGAGTTTTTTCATTGTGACCAGTGAGATTGGCATATTTCCAAATTTCACACGGACCCTGTCCACTCTGCTGTGGAAGGTGCCCTTCCTGGCACAGCCGCCTGGTCTCAGGTGCTGCTCGGACACTCGCTGGGATGACGGGCTGTGCCGAGGCCTCTGGAGGGGCGGGGAAGGGAGGGGGGCGTGGGGTCCTGAGGACCCCGCGTTCGGGCTGGGTCTGCAGTCCTCTCGTCTGCTGCCCGCAGTCACCGCTGGGCCCCCTGCCTGCAGGACGTGTTTCTTGGTCTGGGATGGGCTTTGTGGCTGTGCTTGGGGCCTCGTCCACCAGGTCGCCTTCCGTCCGGTGGCCTTCACCTCTGTGGACCTCGAGGGCTAACGGGACTCACTCTCTGCCTCTCCTTTCTCGCCTTCCTGTCCTTAATCTTGGTTCTGTGCACAAGATTCCTGGGTGTTTTTCTTGTCTTTTCCTAATGGTTTTTATCACTAATAATTCTTGAATGGGTTTTCATAGGAGGAACATTTAGACTCAAATATCAACCGTTGGGTAAAAAATCCTTTAGTCCTGTGTAATCACAGCCTCTTTGAATGAAGTGCATGTGACTCCATCGAATTTGTTTTCCACAGAAAGGGTACAAGCAGCGTGACGCCTCGCGCTTCTTGACAGTAAACACTGCAGTGCAGCCCCCACGTCCCTGCGACGGGAGCTTTTGTTCTGTACTGACGGGGGGAGCGCGGGTCACGCCTCCCTCTGAGCTCAGCTGCACGAGGCTTCCCGCTGGGGAGGGTCTCTGAGCGGAGGCTGCCCCGAGGCTGCAGGACGGGCTCTGCTCTGACGGTGGCTGCTTGCTCCCTGGCTGGGGAGGGAAGGAAGGTGCCCCTCGCAGTGTGGGTACTGTTGTACAGTCCACCAGTTACGATGGCAGGAGCTAACCATTAAAATCTGATGTTATCTGGGTCTTCTCTTTCCTGTTAAAATCGCTCTTTCCTGAAAGCGTCATCACTGTTTTTCTGATTCTTCTGTTTATGCCCGAGGTCGTTCTGTGTGACAGCCGCACATTCGAAAACTTTGCACAGACCTTTCCTTCCCCTTCCCTCTGTTCCCTCAGGCGGGGAGGTGGTCAAAATAGCACAGCTGGCGTCGCTCGCAGGACCGCCGAGCCGCGTGGCCCAGCCAGAGACCCCGGTGACGCTGCAGTTCCAAGGGAACAAGTTCACCTTGTCCCACAGCCAGCTGCGGCAGCTCACCGCCGGCCAGCCCCTGCAGCTGCAAGGTGAGCCCCGCCGCACAGTGCCTCCCTGGACACCACAGCGAGCCTGGCCCGAGGGGCTGGGAGGACTAGTGGGTAATGTGTGTGTACCTGGCTGCCCAGTCGTTGACACGGGCTCAGTATTTGGTAATCATTTAAAAAACCTACCCTTTGCCCAGCTGACATGGCTCAGTGGTTAAGCGTCAACTTAGGAACCAGGAGGTCACGATTGATTCCCGGTCAGGGCACAGGCCCAGGTTGCAGGCTCCATCCCCAGTGTGGGGCGTGCAGGAGGCAGCCGATCCATGATTCTCTGTCATCATTGATGTTTCTATCTCTCTCTCCCTTCCTCTCTGAAATCTATAAAAAATCTACCCTTTGATAAAAGTTTCCTATTTTTAAAATCAGAATAGAAACACTTGCCGCTTCTGATTTGACTGTGAAGTGTGAATTGTCCTAAAAGGCCAAGGCCTGCAGCTGTGCCCTCAGGTTGCAGGTAGCTCCAGGCCAGAGCTCCCGCCTGTGGCCGAGGGCGATGTGTCTGTGGAGCGGCTGCTGCTGGAAGAAAGGAGGGTGCGTGCTCCGGCTAGTCCTGAGTGACCACGGGGCAGCAGCTCAGTCACGTGTGTCCCCCTCAGTTGTGGGTTTGGGTTCAGGGGTGGTGTCCTCAGCAGCCCTGCCCGCACGTGTCTGGGACGCGGTTGTGAAGGTCACTGGAGAGGCACAGTTGGCAGAGCAGAGGCCCCTAGGAAGCCTGCAGCGAAGAGACATTCAATTGGTCTAATTTCCTGCTGCTCCAGGTTTTGGTCGAAGGGGCGAGGCCATCCCTGGGGCTGTAGTTGCTGTGGGACGTGGCAGGTTCCTGCGGAGCAGATGGGGAGAGACTCGGTCACACCGAGGCTGCGTGCCGGCTCCGTAAGCAGAGCCACAGCGTTTGCACTTAACACACGCCAGCCTTTTCTTCATCCGCTGGCGGGTCGGCCAGCGCCAACCTGTGGTCAGGCAGCTGGCACCTTCCCTGGGACTCGGGCCTCACCCGACGTGACCGACCCTGAGCAAGTGCCCCTTGCACTGCCCCGAATTCCTAGGAATTTCTAGGAATCGATGAGCTTCCTTGTGACATTAAGAAAAGCGACATTGTTTCCTTTTTTTTTTTTTTACTATTTATTGATTTCAGAGGAAGGGAGAGAGAGAGAAACGTCCATGATGAGAGAATCACCGATTGGCTACCTCCTGCACAACCCTACTAGGCATCGAGCCTGGAACCGGGCATGTGCCCTGACCTGGAATCAAACTGTGACCTCCTGGTTCACAGGTCCACGCTCAACCCCTGAGCCACACCAGCTGAGCTGCTTCTTAGAGTTACATTCGTTGTGAATAAAGTGTTTTCCTTTTTCTACAAGTAACTGAACTTTGCATTGCCATGTGGGGGCAAGTGTGGTTTTGGAGATTAGGTTCGTGGCCTGTGTCTGCACCCTTGGAGCGGGCGTGACTGATGGCCCTGGCACCGTGTGATTGCAGGCAGCGTCCTTCAGATCGTGTCCGCCCCCGGGCAGTCCTACCTGCGACCGCCAGGCCCCATGGTGATGCAGACCGTGTCTCAGGCGGGTGCCCTGAGCGCCCTGGGAAGCAAGCCCCCGACCAGCGGCCCCGGCCCCGCTCCCGTGGCCCCACCAGGTAGAGTGCTCTGAGCAGGGGGAAGACTGGCTGTGAGGCTGCCTCTGGCTCTCTCCCTCGCAGGTAATGGGAGGCCTTGAGGATTCTGGCCGTGGGGCCTCAGAACCTGAAGGTCCCACCGTGGCCGTGTCCGATTTCCACGGACACCAGTGTCCACTGGGTCTCCTTTGTTGTTGGCTCTCAGAGTGACTGGTTGACACTCACCAGCCTCCACTCACTGTAGATGTTGGTTCTGGTGCTAGGACTTCCCTGGGACAGACCACGAGGCAGGGTCCTCGGTGTGAGACAGATAATGCTGCCTCTTGCCTGGTCCACAGCCTGCTTCCCGCCAGGGCCCTCTTGCTCCCTGGACCCGCTCCTGCCGAATCACCATGACGCTCCCCAGTGCCCCCTAACCGGGCTCCTGGAGCCGTCCCCGAGCGCACGTGTCAGGGCCAGCAGCAGCCCTGACCGTTTGGGGGTGGCTTTGTGCTGGTCTGGAGGGCAGCTGACTCCTGGCCTGAGGGCAGACAGGTTGATGCTGAGAAAGGGCCAGGGCCCTGGTGGCTGGTGTGCCGGCATGCGGGCCGTGAGGATGGCGCATAGGCATTCGCCACGGGAGGAGACAGGCTGGCGCTCGCTCAGAATGTGGCCAGAGGGCAGGGTGCCTCATGGGTTCTGACCAATGCAGGCGTGAATGTGCAGGGAGAGGCAGCACTGATCTGAGGGCGCGCTGGGGGCAGGTGGTGCGCAGCGTCCGGAGCTGTTTCCACCCTTGGTTTTGATTTGCAGTTGGTGTGCCTGGTCGAGTGGCGGTCAACCCCCTGACTGTGGGAGAATCCGGCCTGGCCCCCAAACCAGCGTCTCCCATCGGGGGGCCTACCCAGGTACTGAGCACCTCCCCGGGCGTGTGGGGCCTTCGGAGGGCGTGGCTGGGTTACGTACCTTTCAATTTAAAACGCTTTCCTAACAGAAGGAATGAAACTGTCTTTATGATGGCAAACGTCTCCTTTCACGTAGTTTATATTCTTGTGATGTGGGAAATGCTGTCTCGAGAAACTGCTTTTCTCCTCTGGGGTGCTCTGGGGGCAGGCCCTGCCCAGGGCCCCGCAGGGTGGGGTTTCTCACGGGCCGTTCCCATCGCTTTCTGACGCAGGAGGACAAGGCCCGGCTCCTGAGAGAGCGGCTGGACCAGGTCCACTCTGTCAATGAGCGGCGCTGCTCCCGCGCCCCCATCTACGGGGCAGACCTGCTGGCGGCTTGTTCCCTGGCCTGCGGAGAACGGGGCTTGGGGCCCGGGGCTCTGGGGAGCAGGCATGGGAAGGGGGCCCGGCCAGCGAGTGTCTGCACGTCACCTTCAAACCGTCACAGGGACCTGATTTTGACGCTGACTCAACGTCAAGAGTCCCTCCAGGATCTTATCGACAGGTGAGGTGGTTTCCCTGCGGGAAGGGCCTGGTGCTCACCTCGCCCCCCCCCCCCCCCCCCCCCCCTGCCGTGCCAGCCCCTGGGCTTCTGTTTCCATGGGGTTCTTCCAGGTGTGAGTGTGCATTGAAGGTTCCTCCCTGTCTTGTCTTGGCTGATAGCTCATTTCTTGTCAGCTGACGCGTCCTCCGTTGTCCGGATGGACCAGTGTTCTTGATCCATTACCGGCTGAAGGACATCTGGGTTGTTTCCAAGTTCAGGAACTACGACCACGCAGTCACCATCTGTGTGCAGGTTTCCACGTGGATATGGGTTTTCAGCTCTTTCGGGCAAAAAGCTAGGAGCGTGATGGGGGACCGTGTGGTGAGACTGCCTAGTTCTGTAAGAAACAGTCTTAGTGGCGGCCCCTTGCTCCCCAGCAGGGAGTGCGGGTCCTGGTGCCGCCTCCAGGCTGGGCGGCGTCTGCGTGGGGGGCGCAGGAAGTGGAGTGTCTCTCGGTGGCTCCTTTGCATGTGTCTGTGGTGAGTGTCTGCTCAGGCCTTCGGTGCGTTTTTAATCAGGTCGCCTTCGTTCTGTTGAGTGTTGAGAGCTCGTTGTACGTGTGGACAATGGTCCTTCAGTAGGTGTGTCCTTTGCACACGTGTCCCAGTCCGTGGCTTCCCTTCGGGCTCTCCTGACAGCGTCCTTTGCAGAACAGGAGTCTTTCGTTTCAGTGGAGTCGGCTGGTCAGTCTTTCCTCTCATGGGTCACGTCTTTGGTGTTGTGTCTAGAAAAGTTGTCACCACACCAGGGTCACCCAGGTTCCTTGTGAGCTGTCTTCCCGGAGGTTGTTGTGCAGCTCACACTCAGCTCTGTGGCCCCGAGTCAGCATGTGTGAGGGTGAGCCCGGCGTCTGGGCCTTCCCTGCAGTGGTGTCTGTGGTTTGGTCGTCCTGGGCCTCTGTCGGGGGTCAGGCGACTAGAACAAGGAGGTCTGCTCCTGCGCTCTCTACCCCGCCCCAGGGCCTGCTGTCTGGTCTCTCATCAGCACCACTGTCTGGATGTCTGCCACTCCGTCGTCTGCCTTGGGGGCCGTGTGGCGTCCTCAGGCTCAGTCCTCTCCATGTTGTGTGGCTGTGATGGTCTTTTGCCTCCAGATAAACTTTAAAATCAGCTGGTCGGTAGCCACGAAACGACTTGCTGGGGTTCTGACTGTGCTGGTGTGGAGCCTCTAATCAAGCTGGGAGAGCGCCCCCGGCACAGGGACTCTGTCTGTCTAGGAAGGTGGGACGTCCCTCCGTCTCCTTAGTTCCTCGGTCTTCCTGGTCGGTGTTTGGATGGTGGGTGGCTCTGGTTTGCTGCAGTGGCAGCAAGTAATGGACACCGACCTGAGCTGACCACCCGAGGAAGGGCTTTCTGGTGCAGGTGCGTCCAGAGGCCGGGCGATGGGTGTCAGGTCGGCCTTGAGACCGGCCCTTCCTCCCGGGCTGCCCCTCCTGGTGGCACAGGGGCTGTAGCAGCTCAGCGTTCATTCTTCCCCCACCCCGTCCAGGAGACAGAGCCCCATGTCCCAAAGTTCCCATCAAAAGACTTGCCCTTCGCAGGGGATGGGCTGTGAGTGTCCGTGCTGGGAGCCTGGGGGGCCTTGCCCTGCTGTTTCTCCCTGGGTGGCACTCATCGGCCAGGGCTGTCGGGCCTGTGCCCATGGTTGCTGGGACAGTGTGGGCAGCTGGCTTGTCTCCATGGTGACTGAGGTCAGAGCTGCCAAGTGCTGCCCGTGACAACGTGCTTCCTGCTCCTCAGGGTGGCCTGTGTGGTCCCGTCGGTGGTGGCCTCGCCCCCAACCCTGTGGGTGTCGCGGCCGCCTGCCCTCTACAGCCACAGGATGAGGATCTTCCGGCACCGCCTGCAGGAGCACGCGGCACCCTACGCCCCGCAGCTGCAGCGGGTGACCGCCCCGCGCTCGCTGCAGTTCCCCGAGCTGAGGCTGGTCCAGCTGGACTCAGGTAGGAGAGGACACGCTCACGCGTCGCACCCGGGCTCTGGGGGCAGACACTCAGCGTTGCTCCCCCGTAGGAAAGCTGGAGGCCCTGGCGATGCTGCTGAAGAAGCTGCAATTGGAACGACGCCGGGTGCTGATCATGTCGCAGATGGTCCTCATGCTGGACATCTTGGAGATGTTCCTGGACTTCCACTTCGTCACCTACATCCGCATCGACGAGAACGCCAACAGCGAGCAGCAGCAGGTCAGGCGGACGCTCGGGTCCATGCATGTTCGGTGCTGTCCCCCCCTCCGAACAGAGGGAGGCGTGACATCTCTGGGTCCTGGAACTCGAGAGTCTTTTCAGCCCCATCTCTCCATACTTTTCCACTCGGGACTCGCACCGGCGTCCCAGTGCCGCAGTCAGGTCTGTGACATGTGCTCCCTGCAGGGCAGGACTGTGCCCTTCAGGAGGCAGCCCTGGTGGGAACAGGAAACCGCCCGACGGCTTTACCTTAAAGAAGTGCCTGGGCAGCCACCTGCCATGGTCACTTGTCAGAGCAGTGCTGCCAGGCCTGAGTGCTGCAGCTTCCCGGCCACTCACGGTGCGTGTGACCCTCGACGTGGTCGCTCCCTCCCAGCACCCCCTCCTGACGGCTGGAGTGCGCAGCTGTTTCCTGTAGAAGTGCTTAACCCGCCCCTACCCGGGCTGTCGCGTCCCGAGCCGTCCCCGGCCCTGGGAGCAGGTCAGCGTGCGCCGATGTTCCCGAGAGCAGAGGCCAGCTGCTGGCCCGTGCGTCCGCTGCCGCGTCACGTTCTGTAGCATCAGCACCTCGTGCTGCACACCCCGAGCTCACTGACAGGTTTCCTTGGTAGTGGAGTAACACATTGTATGGAGAATCCCTTTTTTGAAAAAATATATTTTTATTGGTTTTTAGAGAAAGGAAGGGAGAGAGATAGAAACATCGATGAGAGAAACATCATGGACTGGCTGCCTCCTGCCTTCCCCTCCTGGGGATCGAGCCTGCCACCTGGGCAAGTGCCCTGACCGGGATTGAACCGGTGATCGCTTGGTTCCTGGGTGGACACTTAACCACTGAGCCGTGCTGGCGGGGCTGGGCTATCCTGAAGGAGGAGGGTTGTTTGCCTGCTCTGGTCTGATCTGGCGCCGCACTAACTGCAGAGGAGCTGTGTCCAGGGAAGCCGTCCGGTGCCGGCCCGAGTGGTGGAGGCGCCTCTCAGGCTGTTGCCGCTCCCTCAGCCTTACTCCAGGGGCCTTTGCTGTAAGGTGCCCTGGCATTGCCTGGGGGCACACGAAAAAGCGCACATCCCTCCCCAGGAAGGCTCCGTTCTCCTGTGGGGCCTACCGATTGTGCTGACAGCACTTGTCGCCTGGAGCCTGGCGGCCTCCTGTGACGACCTGTGAGATTTAAATTGTGTATGGAGGCCTGGTGAGCCAGGACGCACGTGTACAAAGGGCCAGACGTCTGGTGGAGAGAGGTCAGCGTTCCCCCGTGTGCTGGAGTCCTGAGTGAGGTTTTGTTCCATCACAGGAGCTGGTGAAGAGCTTCAACAGAGACAGGCGCATCTTCTGTGTCATCCTCTCCACGCGCAGCCGCTCGTCAGGGGTGAGCCTGATGGAGGCCGACGCGGTGGTGTTCTACGACCACGACCTGAACCCGGTGCTGGACGCCCGGGCCCAGAACTGGTGCGACAGGATCGGGAGGCGCAAGGACGTGCATGTGTACAGGTGAGGCCGGGGGGTGGGGGGGGGCACTGCGGGTGCCCTGCAGGTCACGGAGCAGCTCCGGCGGGTCCTCTCTCCCTCAGGCAGCGGGAACCCCGGCTGTTGGACCTTCTTCCCGGCGAGTGACGCCTGGTGGGGGGAGGGTGCGCGTGGCGCGGGGACCAATGTTGTGCACGGAGCTTGCTGACTCACTGTGTGTGGTGCCTCTTCTGGAGCCTGCACCTTCAGAGGAGGGAGGCTTCAGGGTGTTTCCGCTGTTACCAAGTGTGTGTTCGGGCAAATCGGATGTTCAGAGAACTTCCACTCCCTGACAGGTGCGATGAGGAGGGCAGTGCTCTGCTCGGTCTGCGTTCTGTTGCTCTTCGTGCCGTGTGTGCTGAGCACTTGCTGTGCCACTTGGCGTGAAATCCTGCCACTTCCGGCCATGGTCCCGGTGCTGGCCCCGGGCAGAGCGCAGGCTGCCTCGCCCCTAGGTTGCTGCACTGAAGATGGGCACTCGCCACACGGCGGAACAGGGCGGCTCCAGGCGGAAGCTGGTGGGGTGGGGACGTGGCCAGACGAGATGGGGAGTCACAGTGGGCCTGAGGCCTTTGACCGCCACTGAGGGCAGGTCGCACGGAGCCCGTGGAGCGCTGATGCGTGCGCTTCCGAAGCCTGCGGCGCCCCCTGCGGGCGTGCTCTTCAGGTGGCCTCTGCGCCGGCTGCTCCTGGGGCCCGGGCTTCAGGACTGAGCTGCCTCTGTGGGTCTTGTTTTGTCTGTAGGCTTGTGAGTGCCAATTGCATTGAAGAGAAACTTTTGAAGAATGGAACCAAGGATCTGATCCGAGAAGTGGCTGCTCAGGGAAACGACTACTCCATGGCGTTCCTGACACAGGTACCCCGTTCGTGGGGCCACAGAAGGGCTTCCACGTGGCACAGGGTGCGTGGCTCTGGGGACTCCAGTGAGGCGTGCTCTGCGGTTCCCCGGCAGCACGCCCGAGCTCGGGGGGGGGCGAGAGCCAGCCCTCTCGCGGGGGTAACATGCGTGTCTGTGCTCAGCGCACCATCCAGGAGCTGTTTGAGGTGTGCGTTCCCCTGGAGGAGCCTGTCTTCCCCGTGACGGCCGAGGAGTTTGTGGTCCTTCCCCAGGAGCCCACTGTCACGGAGACCATCGCACCCAAGATCGCACGGCCTTTCATCGAGGTGAGGACAGAGCCTGCTCGGGTCCTGGGTGCGGAGCCGCTCTGTGTTCTCCGACTCCGGGGGCCGCTCCTGCCTGGTCTCTCCCGGGTCCTGGCTGTGCAGGGGCCTCTGCTGGGAAGCACCCCACCCCCGCCTCCTTGGTGAGGAGATTCGCTGCTACCTCATCCATTTTTTTAAAAATTTATTGTTGAAGGTATTACATATATCTCCTTTTCCCCATTGAACTCTCCCCGCCCACGTGCAACCCCCAACTCATGCTCTCACCCCCCTACTGTCCGTGTCCATTAGTTACGCTTACATGCCTCATCCATTTTAAAAAATTAACCGTTCGGCCCTAGCCAGTTTGGCTCAGTGGATAGAGTGTTGGCCTGTAGACCAAAAAGTCCCAGGTTCGATTCTGGTCAAGGCCACGTACCTTGGTTGCAGGCTCCTCCCTGGCCTGGGCCCTGGTCAGGGTGCATGCAGGAGGCAACCAATCGATGTGTCTCTCACATCGATGTTTCTCTCTGTCTCTCCCTCTCCCTCCCACTCTCTCTAATCGGGTGAGGACTAACAAAAACAAAAGCTTGCTCTGTCAGCACCATCTGACCCAGCATGCACTTCCCCAGGCCCTGAAGAGCATCGAGTGTCTGGAGGGAGACACACAGGAGCCCGCAGGGGAGGCCGTGCCTGGGTCACCGGACCCTGACGGCTTGAGGGACCAGGAGCCCTCGCAGCTGGAGGAGTTGGCCGACTTCATGGAACAGGTTTGGACATTTTCTCCTTTGCTTTCACTTCATGTTTTTCTGTACAAGTCATTGTCTTAAAAATGTATTCCTTTCATAAATGTTTCTTGTTCACTTTGGCCGAGAACAGTCACTCTTTTGTTGTTAATCCTCACCAAGGATATTTTTTTCATTGATGGAGTGAGATATATAGAGATAGAAACATTGACACATTGATTGGTTGCCTCCCACATGCCCCTACCAGGGCTGGGGATTAAACTTCCAACTGAGGTATGTGCCCGCGACCGGAATTGAACCTGCAGCCGTTCAGTCCTCGGGCCAGTGCTCTACCCACTGAGCCAACTGGCCACGGCACAACCACTTTTTTGATTGACGTATTGGTGGGGGCTGTAAGGAACTTAACCCTATTGGCCTGCAATTAACTATCCAAAAAAATGTGTTTTGAAACAGCTCACCCCAATTGAAAAATATGCCTTGAATTACCTGGAACTGTTCCATTCTTCCATCGATCACGAAAAAGAGAGGAACGGTGAGGTAGGGACCATCTTCACACGCGAGCAGCTCAGGTCTGTGGGGTTACGTTTGGTTTGGAGGGAAGTGAGTTGCCAGGAATCGCAGGAATGAACCCAAACCCACCAGTGCCGACACCAGCTGCCATGCAGGTCCGGGAGGCCCCGTGCGGGCGGCTCCAAGTGGGGGAAGCAATGGTGCCTGACAGAGGTTCCGTGCTGGGCCCGAGGAAGTGCTGGGAAATGGCGACCACAGCGTGGAGGGGCTGCGACCGGGAAGAGAGGTCCTGGGTCTGAGTGTGAGACCAGATTGGGGGGCAGGTGTGTTCCCCGTGGGGACGGTGCTGGACGCTGTGCCCGAGCCTGTGGTCTCCCAGCAGGACGCCGTGCTGACTGCAGTGAGCGCCTGGGAGGCCCAGAACCTGCGGGCGCTGCAGGAGCAGGAGGCCCGGGCGCTGCAGGAGCAGGAGCAGGAGCAGCTGCTCACCTACACCCGGGAGGACGCCTACAACGCGGTGCGAACCCCCTCATCGCGTCACCACACAGACGCGTGCTCTCAGCCCGCTGCACGGTTTCCGGTTCCATGTTGCTTTTCCCTGGGGGTGTAGTGAGGGCCCTGAGGTGACGAAGGTGCTAGCAGCGTGAAGCAGACTCACACTGAAAGCTCCCCTCTGTCTCCCGCAGGAATACATCTACGAAGGAGCGGACGGGCAGACGGAAGTCATGCCGGTGCGTGCCTCGTCCCCGTCCCCTATGGGTGGCTGCCTTCCTCGAGTCGCCAGCTAACGCCTCTCCCTTCTCCATGCAGCTCTGGACCCCACCCACGCCGCCCCAGGACGACAACGACATCTACATTGACTCGGTCATGTGTCTCATGTACGAGACCACGCCCATCCCCGAGTCCAAGCTGCCCCCCGTGTACGTGAGAAAGGAGCGCCGGCGGCACAGGACGGACCCCTCAGGTGTGCCCCGTGGGCCGTGCTCCCCTCGCGCCGCGTCGTGTCCCGAGCAGAGGAGCCTGGCGTGCAGGCCAGTGGGCAGGGAGGCAGG